GCCCTATTCAGATTCTTCACACACATGCTGTAAAATTTTCAATTTCTCCTACAAATCATTACGGATTACTCAAAGGGCTTATCTGCTCGTATCAAGTAAACAAATAAATAAACAATATTGATTTTCTAATGACCTACGGCTTCAACTTACGCCTTTTCATGTGTCTTTTTGATATCTATTAACTGCTGTTTAGCTTTATTTATTAACTTATTGATTAATGAACCATTCCAGACTGTCGAAGCTTTGTTGGAATGTGTCGATGGCCAATGGTTTTACCGAACTACCGACGTTCAAGAAGTGAACTCCGTTCAGTGCACTGAATTCGATGCTGCTGGCTGAGCACCTTGTAATTATCTGCCTCTACCGTGTCTATACAACATTTCGTTTTCTCATTTTGTAAGTTTTGTTGAATATGCCATATTTTGAAGTTGTAAATTTTATATTGATCTGTTTTTTTGTGGCTTTCTATCCAGTTCCTGCGGCAGTTTTCGTCGTCTATGAAAAATTAGACGACAGTATACGAGGAACTTCGACGCCTCAGAAGGATCAGAGCTATGGCGCGTCCAACATCGAAATACAACGTATTCCCCTGGCTGGGTCTTTCTAGAGAAGTGAGACGTCAGTAGGAAAGGCAGAGTGGTTCCAGGGTCATCTCCCATGCATTGTGCGCTTCTTAAAAACTTTGACCCTCTTCTCTCACTCGATCACCTGCAAGGTACTCGGACACAGGAATAATTCTAAACATTGAGTCATTGGATCATGAGCATCCAGTTGATCATAGTCATTAGCACACTCTACGAAAGTGATAGTGGAGGAAGAACTCTTGAGACCCTCATAAGCCCACCGTAGCGGGTACCATAGCTCAATCTTTCTTCTCACCGAAGATGGAGTGCTGAAACCACAGGTGGTGAAGGGCAGTAACCCAAAAAGGGCAGAAAGTCACGTGGCTCAACAGCAGAGTTAGTCAGTCAAAGATGCTGTTCACGTCCAGCTTGGATCTGCAGTTTATGTAGTGACTGAGAGGTGGAAATGCGTTTTGAATGAGTCAAGTATGAGTTTGTCTTACTGAATAAGCTTTGGATATGGAGCAGCTGCAGGTTGGGCATTCCCAGCTCCACCCAACAGAGGTGGGGTGAGTAGGTGCAGTGACAACTCTCCAAGCGTCAGTATCTCATCCTAGTGTTTAATTGCAGATTGGTCGTGTACTGTGCCATTAGGTCAGTATTTGGACTGGGTTCATTCATACCACTTTGAGGGAGGGAACTTGAGTATGCGATGTGTCCTTCAAAGGGTTGGGCTATCTGAAATGCCGACAACAGCTCCTTATATACTTACGAGGTTCCGAATTCTAGGTCAAGATGCTTTGGATAGTTGGTGATCTTTGAATTTCGATGATGAGCCCGTTCCACAAGTCACTTGGCTTCCAGAATCTGGGTGAGTCACTAATGTGATGTTTCACGCGGTTTCGCTCTGTACAAATCTCGACGATCCCGGGTCCCAGGTTCGGGAAAGTCGTTGAGTGCTTGCCGCGCAACACCGGGGACAACCTCCGCTAATGGGATCAAGAGTGTGACTTTGGCGATTAGAAAGTGAACTACAACCGTGAATTCCATCGAGATCTCTGAGTCTTTCCAATACCCACCCGCTCTGTCAGGCTTCATGTTTTACCCCGAACTAGTGTGGCTCCAACTCTCACCTGGCAACTAACTACCTTTTTTTGCTCATTTGTACCTAAAACTACCAAAAACGATTTCCAAATTCGACATAAATATTCAAATGTGCTCGGAGCGATATTCCTGCCGAANTGTCAGGCTTCATGTTTTACCCCGAACTAGTGTGGCTCCAACTCTCACCTGGCAACTAACTACCTTTTTTTGCTCACTTGTTCCTAAAACTACCAAAAACGATTTCCAAATTCGACATAAATATTCAAATGTGCTCGGAGCGATGTTCCTGCCGAATTTCCCTTCTTACAGCTTTTTTTAAGTCGAACTTTTATGCAGCAATTTTTTTTGAGGATGCGCCCTGTGCTTGATTTCTGTCCTGACTCGTGTCCAACAATTAAGTTTCCGGTTCTCATTGGATTTACAAGCCATTCGAAGTCTCCCATGAAACCGTGAAATTCCCAGATATGGGCTGTTGTTGGGTCTTCCTCCTCTATCCTCGGTAATCTTCACGAATTAATGACGAGAAATTGCTATTTTGCTGATGAATATCGATTTTTCCGGTTTCATTCCATTTGCTCGACGTTTAGATTGATTGAATTTGGTTATATCAAGGGATAAATTGAGTGGCGTCTTCATAGAATTCGAAAAAAGGAAGTATTTTGTAGGCTGTATTGTTACAATCAGCTGTCTTTTCAGATGCCACCACAGTACACCATACTCTTTTTGATGTGGAGGGTCATACCGGTGGTTTTTGGATGTGCCGCAACATCTCCTGGAAGGAACCCTACGACTCTCAGTCCAATAAGAGCTACCACAACAACTCTCAGTCCAGTGAGAACTACAGTGAGAACTGCCAGGCCGGCCACCACTCGAACCACCACTGCTGCCCCTACGGAAGCACCTGTCGTACGTGAGTTTTACGGTGTTATACTTCGAGTCTTGGAATGGCTTAGCAATGAGACCTTCAATAATGTGCTCATTTTTACGGATTTTTTTTTCTGAATCAGAATCGATTTTTTGATTGAGTGAGTCTACAGTATGACCTGTTCTCCATCGTAGCATGATTTTCTGTAACGCTTTAGGTCCGCTGTGCTAATCCGGATTACTGTATTTTTAGCTCTCTGTCAACGATGTGCAGCGACACAAGTTGATTTCGATACGGCAAACGGTGAGCCTGGTCGGTTTGATGCGACGTTTAGGTGAGGACGCAATCTGTCGACTTTACATTCTACAGATTACTCTCAAATCTCAGAATACTCACAAACCCATACTTTAGATGAGCGATAGTCTTTTCAGATTGGAAACCAATAATCCAGACACAGGCTGTAAACGTTTGACAGCAATCTGTACCGCTCAAGAGGGATTCTTCTCCTTCATGGAGTTCAACGTCATCGAAGGTGGTCCGGCGGAGAATCAGGATAATGGCCGAGTGAGTGGTTTAGTTACAGAGTAGTTGAACCTGTTGAACCGACTGCTGAAGAAATCCAACTCATAGGTTATTCGTACTTGGAGCATTTAGGTATTTTCTTTCACCAGGATTTCAGTGATTTCATGATTGTTATGATCCCCTCCAGTCCCTTACTCCGTCTCTGCCCGTTTGTTATTTGTGTTGTCTTGTTGTCTTCTTTGTGTGTGTTTACTTGTTTGCGTCCATGCCTTAGAATACTCTGCTTTTTTGGATATGTAAATATCCACATTGAAGGATAGGCTAAGTGCGTCAAGGATCATGGTCGAGGATCAAAAGACGCCACTCCGCACGTACGGTATTGAGTTTAAACCTCAGATCGTCACCCTCCGTGAGAAGTACTAGGATTAGGTGCTAACAATAAGCCATCCCGATCTACTGGGTGGGCCAAATAGACGATCACACGTCGCTGTCATACAAGTACTTGGAGCCTCTACTACAGGAATGGACACGGTCAACTCGTTTTACTACTTTGTTTCATTTTCTTTGCTTTTGAGAGCCTTTTCCATCACTGTCCGCTGGTTTTGAACTTTATGACTCTCTCGTTATCGAGTTTTTGACAAGCAACCCATTCCAGACTGTTGAAGCTCTGCTGGAATGCATGGACGGTGCATGGTTCTATCGAGGTATACGACAAGTGAATTCTGTCCAATGTACTGAAGCTCCACTTCCATGACTTCCATGAGCTTCCTTCGTCAGCGTTGTGCAATAATTTTTTGGGTCTTTGAAAACATTATCATGATTTATTACGCCTTTACTGAACGATGAGATTCAATGTTCCTTTTTGTCGGCACCACCTGTTTTCTTCTGTGCCACGTACTTCTTGCCTCCTTTACTGTAGTAGCTGATGTTGTAGAATCTGAAACTGGTTAATAAGTTACTACTAATTTAGCACTGAGTAGAAAGATAAGACTGGGCAGACAAAGGTAATGCCGCTGCTCTCATACTCTGGGGTGGTTATTCCGAAGCCTGTATGTAATACCCGTATAGCCAGCACCGATTAGGTGCAGAGGGACCTAGCAACTGAACAGACTCACCAGTAATTTCTAAAAATTGGAAGTGGGTGCTCCCGAAGGCGAGGTTTTAGGGATTCAGGGAATGGATTCAATGGAGAAAAATGTAAAGGAAGAGCTATCGATATTTCATTTTCAATGCGGATTACTGTACCTTTCTCTCAAGGGATACCGAATAACTTCTACTTATACCAATCTCAACGTACCGTATCCATAGCATAAGGTATGTAACAAGCATGAAAACGCCGATTGCCCAGCCTCGGAATGTCACGGCATAGGAAGTTTTGCCACTACTGGTCACAGCTAAGTAACCGACATGAAGTTGGGCGGCAATAGCAACGATGAACTGAAAAAAAAGGTCTTTTAGTCTGTAAAAATTCCTATCACACTGTGATGTGCATCAGGTGGAGTATTGAATGCTTGTTGCATGTGCATGTATCAAACCCATTGTCTACACTCGTTATATGCATGTGGGCGTGAAATCGATACCGAAATCGACATGAAATCATTGAAGGTCTGGTGTTATCAGTTTTCATGCTCCCCTCGTTCTACTAGTTCCCCATAATCACGGATAATTTCATTTTAATACAATTTCTAAGTCGACCTAGAGTTTAGAGAGGGTAATCAAAAATGAAACAAGAAAAATTAGGCTTGAGTTGCTATATCAGCAATGACGGCACATCACGAAATTAAAAATTTGTGCAGTTAAACTTTCATAACTGCATATAATCCTCCTGCTGATATCTAGCAACTGATCGCGGGGCGTGACTTTCTGTGATGGGCGGAACTCGTGAAACCAAAGCGTTATTTTTTTAATTAAACTCTGCCTCAGAGCCACTTTCACCCTTGGCCCTCGGCCAACTTTAGAAGACGCCTTTGTAAAAAATTGAACAAAAAAATAGAATATCTATAGCCTCACGGTCTGACCTCACCTGGATCATTTGCGAGGTAGTGATAATTTGAGCAATCTGGGCTGGTACTTGAATTCGCAGCGAACGTAAAAGGTAGTAGCTGAAAAGTTTTCCTTTTATTGATTGCAGTGGAAGTTGGGGACAAAGAGCGTTTGGTCCCTAGTAAATTTTGTTCTTTGAAACTCGACGTTGCTTTCATAGCATCTAACCAGGCCTGCAGTGGAAGTTGGGGCTTGGTAAGACTTCAATGCAGAAGCCGTTTATCGCATTTGAGGGTGTACTTTGTTCTAACTGGTAAGGGCAATCGTTTAGCAGATCTTATCAATTGAAATGAATCATGAATTGACCAAAAAGCATATGACACGATGTGAAGTCTAGTTTGAGTTTGCATGGTTGCCCAAAATGGCGACGATTCAGCAGTATTACAGAGCATCATTTCTTCAAACTCTGTTATTTGATTTATGATCTGAACTATCTTTCTTGACTTCAGTAACTATTGTGGGACCTAAGGATCCTGAGTAGAGGCGATGGGGCGTGGAATGAATGCAAAACTGTCAGAACTGACAAAGAACTTTCAGAATCAAAAACGAGAGATGTCGCTCTTTTAAACCGCTACTGCATCCAGCCTCAGCCCTTCGTGGGCGAACAATTATACTCATTCTAGGGCTCAACACGTACCTCATGTTTTCTATGCACTCTGCAATTCATTCAAAGCAGGTTTGCCTGCTGTACAGTTTGGGCAAATTCACATACTCTCCCGGTCAAAGCTATGAAGAGCTGAAGGGCAGGCTAAGGAGGGGAAAAAGGGATGTTGAAACCACCTTCAAAGAACAGGAAAGAGAACTAAGAGATTGGGAGGGCACAATGATGAGCGATTCCCTATACTACTAAACTATATTCAATCCCGTCAGACATACGTAAGTCAGAGGCGGTAAACCCATTATTTCATAGCCATAATAAGATGATTCTGCAGAAAACAATGGAGCAGTTGATTTGTTGGAGGTTTGGTCAGCCGTTCACGAAGTCCATTGCTTTTCACCTGATCCGATAATGCGTTACGATCGTCGAGAGTACCCTTAGAAACACTTGATATTCTTCTGAGCCCTGACTTAGAACCAATTTTGGTATAAGCCTATAGTGGCCACTTTCTCACAATGAGATATGGGATATAGCTTTACTGAGAAGACTTTTTCTAGAATTTGTCTCACCTGTACATGGCTGCATGAATGGCATAGTTCATCCAAACCACCCAGAACATATGAGCGTTGTCCTCATGATAGTTCACAATCGCATAGTAACCAGTCAGGGCATGATGATACCTGAACCAATCCGCAACTTACTTTAAATTTTGCATCAGGAATATGATAAACCATCAACTGCTTGATATCTTCGAGGTTCTACTCCTAACTAGGTTACGTAGTCAGATGCCCGACTAGTGTAGCATCAACCTTCTATTCCTTCTCGGTTACTTCATACCTATTGAACGTGATTCTTAGAGAAGAAGGTCCCTCCTATACGTCTACGAGCTCCCACA